CAAAACTGCACCGCAGTAAATGACACCGCTGTGAGGATACAGTGTATGTGAATTTTAAAGTTTTGACTGAGATGTTACTCGCTGTCAGTTTTGGCCGGCGGTCATAGGTTCTGTCCAATAATATGACGCGAGACTGGAGTAAAATACATCCATGGATTGGCACTTTATTAAAGAAGGCACATGTTAACAGCACAAAAACACTCACTCCAACTAAACACAATGGCTTCCTTTTATACTCTACCTTTTCAGGTGAGCATCTGGAATAGCCCAAGTATGGGGGTTAACTAATCAACATGAAAACATAGCCCTCCACACAAACAAACATACAATAACATTAAAGCACATCACAAACATATACATATTTCCAACACGTACTATAAAAAAAACCAATAACATAAGCTTCACCCATTTCTATCTAAATTAAAACCCTCTTTAACCATACTCCTTAACCTGGCACATTGGTCTGCTCCAGGAGCTCAGGAGCTCTTAAGCAGGTGATTGAGCCGCTTTCACTCTTTTGCTCCACATCCTGCAAGTAGCAACCAGGACAGGTGAGTACCTTTATAAGTTCTCATTTCACAAGCAGCTCTAACTTTGGCTCTTCTCTGACACAGGTAGGATGGCCAGTCCCCCTGTCTCTTCACCTTTACAAGCTGTCATTTTAATCATATGTCAAATAAACCTAATAAAGAAGTCATAAGAACTAATTTGTTTTTCTTTATTATACTATTTTAAATTCCCAATCCATCAATTAATCACTAACAGTGCCAACAAGGTAATGGAACCCCTGGTCTCCATTACACTCACTATCAGAAAACGCATCAATATTTTTAACACTGTTATATTAATTAGATTCCGTACGCCGAGGGAATGAATATATGTAGGATAAACTATATAAATGTATTCAATCCTTTAACTTTCTGGAATTTGTTTCATTTAAGTTACTCAATGGTCACAACAAAGCTAACTTTAAAATCCCTGACTTACACGATGGATTAAAAAGGACTGATTATTAGAATGTTGCTAATAATGTGGTTACCACCCCGTCATATGTAAATCAACAATATCCTTCATTCTCATTGGTAGTTTCTTTAACTACTTGCCTAGAAGCTGAGAAAAGTTAAACTCACACACACACACTTCACAGTGATTATTTTCTCCCATCATCACTTGAAATTGTTAAATGTCAGTAACTTTCTGCATTCTCTATTTGCCATTTCAGTGCTAGTCACTTCCTGTGTGGCTGCCTCTTTAGGGGCTTCATATAAAACCCATCAGAAACGGGCTGACTTTTCAGAAAGGGGTTAGTTTTAAAAGGTTAAGTAAGTAAATAAACAAATGGATGGGTGGTGTGAGCAAGTAATAAAGCCAATAGTCTGACAATGTCTGCTGAGATTGGTATGAAGACCTTTGGACATGAGTCATTCCCTCTTGTTCTGACCCCACCTATCCTCCTAGTCCTATGAAAATCAAAGTTCAACTGACATAAAATCTATTAGTATTGATAAGGTTTTTTTTTTCAATTTCACCAGATGTGCTCTGTAAGCTGATGTTCAACTTTAACTTTATCTCCTGAGGGTGTGCGCAGGTGGACAGAGGAAAGATAGGAAGACACAGAACCGGCCACACCATTCAATAAAACAATGATAAAATAAATAACCGAAAACACAGGAAACTGTCAGACATTGTGGCTACATTTTGATTTATATCCCACCCAACCCAAACTGGTTTATAGAAAAGTGCCACAATCAAGATATGGAATTATTTTTCACAGAGGGAAGGAAAAAAACAAAACACATACACTGTATTTCCTTGATTATCACGGGGGTTATATGTTCCTTAGAGGTGTTCTAAGGAGCTTGGAAAGAAAAGCATCTGGACTTTCACCTCTCATCCGAGAAGCTTCTTCAGTTCAGAACTAGAACTGAAGAAGCTTCTCGGATGAGAGGTGAAACGTTTTCAGGCAACTTAAAGAAGTCCAGATGCTTTTCTTTCCAAGCTCTTAGACTACGATGACTTGGATGACCGAAAACCTTCAGACATATTCCCAGAGGTGAAAATACGCTAAGTAGAAACCATATGTTTATTTTATTATGTTAAGATAAGATACGATAACTTTTATTAGTCCCACACGTGGGAAATTTGTTTTATTACAGCAGAAAGTGGACAGTGCAAAGTTACATAGCAAAAATTTGAAAAACTGTGTTTATATATTTTAAGCTATAAAAACCCGCCCCACACTCCTATAAACCATTTTCACGCTCTTAAACACACTTTTGGGACACATCCTTACATACTTTTACTGTCTGTGTCCATACCCTCGACGGAGGTTTATGGCGTTTCACTTATAGAGCACCTAAAATGCACAAATAACACCTTGATTCGTATGATGGATCAATGATGTGGCGTTATATTGTTATTAATGTTTTGGGGCCTGAAAATGTTTATTTTACTGCAAAAATAATTAAATCTTTAAAAAATAAATACAAACTATCTATAGACTGCAGAATATAATTAAATTCCAGCGATATTTATTTACAGATTATTTACAGATAAATCCACGATGTGGTCCTAAGTTCACTTATCCTGTTGAGCTATACAGTACAAATTGTGCTGTGGAAAAGAAAATCTAGTCTCTTGTAACAGAGACAATAGAGTTTCCCGACTCTGTGGTGAAAGTCTGGTGTCAGGTTCATTCATTGGCAGGGAGTCCTTCCCCCAAACAAAAGCCATTAGAGTGCAATGCAAAATGTCTCCTTAACAGTTTTGAGTAGGCACTGCGACTTCTTTATTTCAGGGAGACCCACACAAATCAGAGCTTTTAAAGTCTGAAAGCATTCAGGGATGTAATAATCTAATATTTGGATATTTAACCTGAAATTAAAATCAGGGTACTGCTATCGTAGCTGTGCTCATCTCAGGTTTGTACATGACATGATCCATCTCGCTCAGCACTGACCCAAAAGCATAACGTTCAACAGGGCAGCCAGAGCAGTGCAACATGCTCGAGAGGATAAAAAAAGCCCAGCGAACAAGACTATCAAACTGGGCTCTCCCTCCTCATTGCACACATATTTGTGTGCAATGAGGTGGAATTTGGCATTTCAAATTCCAAGTTCCACGAAATCTTATTTCTATTTTGTGCATCATAGTCTAGCTTTATCTATGCAGTATATCATTTTAAATCAGTTTTATCATCGATTTTACAAAATAAGTGTCTTCTCTTACGTTTTGATGGTTGCGGGAATGCTGGGGACTATATTACTTGTACTTGCTGACCTTTTTCTCTGCCATTTGTGGGAAATGCTCATGATGTTATGAAACATGGTTACAAATAGCACTGTTTAGATATCTAGAGAACTGATGGTAATCAACAGCCCCTGACAGTTCACCAGTGACATACATTAATTTCCTAAAAGCAGATAATTGATCATGTATACTGTGATATCTGTGTATTAAATTTGATACTTCAATACAAAAACATGTAAAATTGCTACCTGTGGTATCAGAACTGTGAAAGATATTCTGAATAAAAAATACAAACTGTATTTTCCCTTTTATATCACGCACATGGGTTGAACTGTAGAATCCAGGAAACTTCAAATAGAAACACCGTTGAGTTTGTATACAAATTTATATTTAGTATTTTAAGAAATATGCTTATTGACTTTTAGTAAAGAGATCAATAAGATCAATACAACTCTTACAACTCGCTTATGGATTCCAGATCAGCATTTGTCAAGTCAATTTTTTTTTAATCTTTGGGTTCACCCGGGTTATCCATCTCTCCCTGCCTACAGTTTTTGTGCTGGTTGAGTTAATATTCAAAGGCTCATCTAACTTTCAGCAAGGAAAACAGTTGGAGCTAAAAGAATATTTCACACAGGAAGAGAGAAATATTTTACTCATTCTTGCTATTGTACAGATGGGAACACTTCAGTAAAATTGCTTGTCCTTGGCAAGTCCACTAACACTTTCATTCCTTTGTATAAAAGAAGTTCATAGCAGTAGATTTCTAAGAGCTTGTCATCTACCCACTTCAGAAGAAAGCATATCCAACTCAACTTTTATACAATTCAGGTTTCCAAGATGCTTCCAAAGTCACTGTCAGGAAGAAACACTAAGAAACTAAAGTTACAGTTTGGTACATCCCGAGAAAGAAAGAAAGAAAGAAAGCACTGATGAACTCGTCCACGTCCACCGAAGACCACAGTGGTGGATGATCACAGAATTATTTCCATGGTGAAGAGAAACCCCTCCACAACAAGTGGACGAAAGCAGCTGAATGAATTCTGAGGTGTACGGAGACATACTTTCTGCTCAAATTCAGCTAAATGCAGTCAAACTGATTGCGTGGCGTTTCATAATACAGATGGACAATGACCCAAAACATATAGCCAAAGGAACCCGGTAGTTTACTAAAGCAAAGAAGTGGAATACTCTTGAATGGCCAAGTCAGTCACCTGATTTTAACCCAATTGAGCATGAATTTCACTTGTCGAAGCCTTAACTTTGGACAGAAAAGCCCACAAACAGACAGCAACTGAAAGCTGTTGAGGGCAAGACTTCAGGCTGTCATTGCCAGCAAAGGGTTTACAACCAAGTATTAGAAATTAACAGTTTATTTTCAGATACTTAATTTGTCCAATTACCTTTGAGCGCCTGAAATGAAGGGATTGTGTAAAAAAATGCTTTAGTTCTTCACATTTTTAGGCAATCTTTTTGTTCAGCTCACTGAATTAAAACTAAAAGTCTGCACTTCGACGACATCCGAGTTGTTTCATTTACAATTCATTATGGTGATGTACACAACCAAAATTAGAAGAAGAAAAAAAGTCTCTGTCCAAATGTTTATGGACCTAAGTAAATGGCCAAGTAAATGTAGCGTGAAGTATAAGTTAAACCATTATTACTTATTTATTTTACGTGTGTGTGTGTGTGTGTGTGTGTGTGTGTGTGTGTGTG